AGCACAATTACCAGCAGCTGTAGAGTCCATGTATAAACCTGAACCCCATGGAATTGCACCCTGGATGGGGAGGAAAAGGGGTTCCCTCTGTCTGGTCTCCAAAAGAAATGAGTCTCCTGTGCTCATGGTGTTGCTGTTCCGTTGTCTCCCTGGGTTCTTTAAAGCTTTTAAACACATTTGCTAACTTCATCCATGCTTGATGGGACAGTACAGGAAGTTTTATAGGACATAAGGATTAAATAGCTTTATACTGAAAGAAAATGTGTTTAGATTGATTATTAAGAAGAAATTCTTCCCTGTGAGGGTGGTGAGGGACTAGCACAGCTTGCCCAGAGAAGCTGTGGATGCCCTATCCCTGTAAGAGTTCAAGGCCAGGTTGGATGGGGCTCTGAGCAACCTGGTCAAGTGGAAGGTGTCCCTACCCATGGCAGGAGGTTTGGAACTAGGTTTTGGATCTTTAAGGTCCCTTCCACCCCAAATCATTCTGGGATTTTATGATTTTACTCAGCTGAATGCAGTGGTCTGGTAAGTGAATGTCTCCATCTCAACTAGTCACCCTGGCCTCTCTTACAGCCACTGGCAAAACCCAGGCCTTTCAGGTTGGAAACTTTTCTGATGCAGGGTGGGTGTTTCCTCAGAGCCCTCTTCTCACTGTGGATTTTCTAGGAAGCATAGATGTCTGCCCTGTAAATCACAACAGGTCATCATGTGGCTTCTGGTCATATCTAGTGGTTTTAAATAAAGAGGCTTGTGTTAATAATATCACTGATCCCTCCTGTTGTTTCTCTCGACAGAGCTTGTGTGACCCCAAGTCCCCATTATGGACTGATCACAAGCTTTACAGGACATGATTTAGTATTGAAACCAATACCAGCAACATTTAGAGAGCTATACAAAAGGGAAAATCTGGCAGATTTACCCAATGTTTGTATTGAAAATATTATCCCAAAGCATTTGCACATATTTGGTCTTATTTTGTTGCTAAGTTTAAATGCACATTATCCATGGGCTTTGTTCTGACACCCCATGCAAGTGACCAGTATTGATACACAATTCAAATACAACAGGCCTGGGCCGGGTCCCTGTAGTGCCCTCCTCAAGAGATTTGTAAAGACACAGCCCTGACCAGGACTTCAGCCAAGTGTGGAAAGACAGGAACATCTCCTATCTCTTCCACTAGTAAAAAGAGTCTTGTAGGATTCAGCTCTCCAAGGAAGTGAGAGATGGGATGGGATGGGATGGGATGGGATGGGATGGGATGGGATGGGATGGGATGGGATGGGATGGGCAGGCTTTACATCTTCCTCCAGGTTTATGGTGGATGCCATGGTACGGAAGAAGAAACTCTTACCTGGTCTGCCTTGTGCTGGGAGTCTGCAATGGTGGCATCTTCTCTGGTGACATCTTCCATGTGAACAAATGCCCAGAGTTGGCTGTATGGGTAATTTCAATAAATTAAATTATGCTATTCAAGTCTCATTTCATGCCTCTTCTGCTCTGCTCCTTACTTAATTTACATTCACCTTACCTTTGCTGTTGTGCTTTCTCCAGGGATTTGCAGACACCCTGGCTGGCAAAGTGACATCCTTCCTGACATGACATCCTCCTGCATCCCCGGAGTCCATACCCCCAAAAGACACAAAACATATTTGCAGCAGAGTGGGGCACATCCAATTACTGTACTTGTTCCATGAATCCTTTTTAATTCTCAGGAGTCTGTGGCCTTTCTCAAGCCAGAGGTGAGGAAAAGCACAATCATTATTAAACCGGTGAATTGAGAGTTGGGTTTTGTCTTTTCTTTTTTTAAGGAGTAAAAAAAAAATGAAAGGGGAAAAGTTCCCTGTTTCACACTTCTTAAGGTCACACTTCTTATTAAGGTTCCATTTAGAAAGAGCACATAATTTCTTAATACATGTTGAGGTGATTGATGAATCATTTATTGTATATTGCTATTGAACTGTTGGTCTCTAGAGCTGTGATTTAACCATCTATAATACCTGCAGCTGCCGTGTACACAGCCATCAATAATGTTGGAACACAAAGTATTCGTGTGCATAACATGCTTACCGCATCTAACATTTATGAATGCTCTATAAACAATTTATAAATGAAATTTTAATATACAGAGTAACCTATTTTTAATGTTGTGGCAGTTACATAACCCATTTGGCCTTGATTCATCTCGGTTAACTTTGGGCACCTTGTGGAGGTGTCTGTGTTTGTAGCCCTGTGCCATTTCCCTCTGCATTTCCACCTTCCCTACCTCCGACTGCTCACTTACCCCTGTTCTGCCCCAAATGTTCTGTAAATGTGTCTGTGAGGGATGCTGCAATCTCACAGGCTTCTGTGTGATGATGGAACTGCACCTCAGTAACCCCCTCACTCACATGTGGGGTAGTGTGTTTCCTCACACTAAAGGAAAACACTCCCCTGCCTTTTCTTTCCCCTTTTCAACCCAAATCCATTGCATGGGTTCAGCCTCATGTGGCCATACAAAGAAGTGAATAAGGCAAAAGGAATGGAGAGAGAATGGCATCTCTGCTCTGGATCTGAGCTGTTGGGAAAGGAGGTGACAGGCAGATGCCTAAATCGGACCATGGCATCACTTCAGCTGTGGACCTGGACTGGTTTGTAAGAACATGGGCAGGCTTTGAGAGCAGAAGGGTCCTGTTCCTGACACAGATTAGTGATGACGTCCTCACAGCAATTAACAAGATGCTCATTGTTAAAATGTTTCAATAGTTGGCCTGATTTCTCTCTGGCAGTGTCTCCATTGTTCTGTTCAAGTTGAACACATGCTGAAAAGGGCCTGAAATCACCCTTCTCCAGTCATGGCATCAGAGCACACTGGGCTGTAACAAACTTTTCTCTTGTGAGGATCCAGTGCTCCCTCATCACAGAGGGATGGTACTGCGTTTCCCCAGCGTTAACATTGGCCTTCCCTTATGCTAAGTGATTTCAGAGCAGTTCCTGAGGCATTTTCCTGTGGCTGTGGAGAAGGGGAGTATGAGAGGACACTGGTGCAACCTGTGCTGGTACCAGCCCTTGGAAGAGAAACACTTGGAAGACCAACTGCAAACAGGAGGTGGCTGAGCACTGTTTCACCTGGTGTACAGCACTGGGTGCAACGTGGTTTCCCAAAGCAGTCTGTGTACATGATTTACACCTTCAAGGTTCATTACTGTGACTGGTACAGACACACACTGAGCACATCTTGGCCTGGAAGGATCTTCTGCGCACCCAGACTTGTACAAATCTATTCCTCGTGTCCTAAAATGCCAGGGCCAGATCTGGATGAGATGTCTTCTCCTTGTACCAGGGTTCCTGAGAGCCACTGGTGATGGCCCATGTAACACAATGGGACAGGGGCCTCAATGTCAAATTTGCAGGTTCAGATGTGGATTGCATATCTGGACAAAAGTTTAGCAAGTTCCCCAGGCAGATGTGTGACTGAATTAGCTGTAAAAAGTTAGCCTATTAATGTGCTTTCCAATAATGTGCTAATATTAGGGACATGCTTAGGTATCTTGCTGAATCAGGAACAAGGGGACAGTAAGTAAGCAATATATGTTAATTGATGTCACCTACACACAGCACGAATCCTGCTGGTGTTATGGAATAATTGATGCATCATGAATGTAGTGGCCTAAGTATCATTCTAAAAAGCAACATCAGATGGTAATAAAATAGACAAGATCTTGTTCAACTGAAATAACTCAATATGCTTTAAAGATACTCTTTTTAACAACTGAAGTTGGGTTTGAAGCAATTTTTTCCCCAACATGAACAAAGTTTTAGGAGGGGTCTAATAGATGCAGAGGAAGGAAGGAGAAACAGAAAGGGACAACTTAATCCTTCCTGTTGGGACCAAACATAGAAAAGCAGAAAAGTGCAGTGAGTGGAAGAATCAGTGTGAAGGATGAGGCGAGAAAGAGCAAGATGAGAAACTAAGAGCTAAAAAGATACTGAACAACCCAAGGACCCTGAACCAACCCCAGAATGGTCTAACTTGCAGAAGTAAACATCTGTCATTGAACACTGGACATAACAGTTTTCCAGATCTGTGTGTCTGCTTTATTAAGAAAAGAGCACTAGTGTTTACAAAGCTCTGTAAAGCCTGTACCTGTATGAAAGCCTTCAAATCATCCCACCTGTACCCAAACAGCTGAGTTGCAAGCCCAGAGCTCTGGAAGGCCTGCTTCCACCCCAAGGAGCTGGCAGCCAGCACTAGATTGTTTTTAGAGCAAGTAGGATGGATGCCCATTTCAGTGACAAAGTGTCCACACCCAGGAAGGGAGTCAGAGGAAGGGAGAGTGCAGCTGGCTCTCACTAAGGAAAGTTTAAGAGCTTCTAGATTGGGAATCCAAACACAGGAGCCTCAGGACTTTGACAGAAGGAGCTCAAACAAGACTGGACATCGGACGGTTTTTAAGTGCCCGCAGCCAGTCTTCCAAGATGTACCACCTGGTCCTCCTTCCAGCCTTCGAGCTGTTTCTTAGAGGATGGAAAGGATGATAGAGTCATGCAATGGTTTGGGTTGGAAAGCACATTTACAGGTCATCTAGTTCCAAGCCCCCTGCAATGAGCAGGGACATCTTCAATGAAGTCAGGTTTCTCAGAGCCCCATCCAACCTGACCTTGAATGTTCCCAGGGATGAGACATCCACCACCTCTCTGGGCAGCCTATGCCAGTGCCTCAGCACCCTCAGTGTCAATATTGGGATACTGAGGCATTTGTTGCCTTTTATGTGAGTGCAGCTCTGTCCCCTCAGCTGACAGTGACCAGACAGTGACACAGGAACCACGCTACAGAGCTGACATCTTTCACCAGCTCTGAGTTCATCTGGGAAGAGAAAGGCTGAGTGTAGCTGAAATTTCAGTTCCAGGGTCAAACACATTCTCTCAGAGACAGAATACAGCATCAAGAGATATGTTATTATTACCAGTAAAAACACACAAGAACACTATCAGGAATTACAGTCAGAAGAGACAGGCAAAGGTTTAAATACAATGAAATAAGTATTTATTCAGACAGTTAAAGTTACACAACTTAGGCTTCTCCAATGCATACATCTACTGAACCAACGTCTGCGCTCAGCAATGGTGATTTAAATTAGGAATGATTTAATGCAACCACTGGGCTTGTATCAGATTTACATCTGTATAACAATGAGCAGTTTGACTTATCATGTTCAAAATAATTGCTGGGTGTTTCAGAGGAATAAAAGCAAGTTTTCAGTACTAGGACAGGAGAACAGATCAGAGGAATATTATCCTTCTTCCAAGCAGTACAGTGACCAATCCTGACAGCAATCCCAGTGACTTTAAGCACCTTCACCTCACCTTTCTCCAAATTACACTAACACTTAAATATTTTCCTTCTGGACAAGTCAAAAATGATCTTCAGAAGGAAGAACTTCTTGTGTTTCATCTCTCTCACCAAGACAAGTAAAAGTGTGAGAAAATTGGGAAAGATATCATAAATGCCAAAAGTAACTAAGCATCAAAGCTGACAAGGGACAGAGTAGTCTACTATATAATGAACAGATAGACCTTTAAGGGTCAGCTCACACACAAGAACTTATATTTATATGCACATATGACAGATTTATAATGGCATATTGGATACCTAAGAAATAATACAGCTTGCTTTTGTTATAATAAAAGCTGTTCCCATTCCAACAGCTTTAGCAGGCTGTGGATCAGGATCCCTTATTAGTAAAAAGGCACAGGAATGTTGCATCCCAGTACAGGCTCCACAGAACAAGACCCTCTCTTCTCAGAGAATGTTAAAAATAAATTAGGAAATGATCCCGTAAGTGTGTAAGTTGAAGCATCCCGAATGCAACAGCATGTGCTTCACAATATTTTTGTTTGGAATGCAATGTGGCCCTTATAAAGCCTTAGCTGTATTCCTAGAATCTGCCCATTACCTGCTGGGAATACTGAATAAAACCCAATTTGGATATTGCTGCAACAGTGTTGTGCAACATAGTACAGACACACATGTCAAAAACAAGCTTTTATGGAGAAGATCAACTGGTTTAGTTCCTGTTCTCCTTGGAGCTTATTTTTTCTGTTTATATGCCTACCCAGTGACAGAGAATTCAGCCTCACAGCACAGTTTGGTAAACTAAGCTCCACCAACACAAAAATAAATGCCCAACTCAGCTGTTGGACTCTCTTTCCATGGGTGTTCTGGCCCAGAGCCACTGTGCAACTCTAAGGAACAATTTTGTTACTGGACACTGCTGACAGAGCAGTAAATCATTGCAAGTGAATCTTCAGCTGGCCTCGGATTCCCATCAGTTCAAGGCTGAAAACTTCCACTCTGGCATTCAAAGCTGTGCACAGAGCCACAGCTCGAGCAAAAACACTGATAACATTGCCACAATACACGTTTTTAGAGATAATACCCTGCATACACTGGAAATTCCACGCTATAGCTAGAGTTCCCTCAAGTTAGAAATATATTTAGGATGAATACATTACAGTCATTTGCAAACATGCAATGAATTGAGTTTTGAGCACCGTCTTTCCTACAGAAAACACCAGTCACATCTAAAAATATGGTGCAGAGAACCAGAACAAGCTACCAGGTCAGGTATGAAGTGGGGGACCCACATTTCGATGAAGTCTAAAGAAACAAAAAAAATCTGCAAAGAGGTTGTGCATGTAGATTTAAATCATACAGAGTTAACTGGACCACCCCCGCTTGGTGTATCCACCCCCGGAAATGTTCTATCACCAAATTTAACTACAACTTTAAGAAAATATTGAGACAGGCTTTAAACATATGGTCCATGAAATAATATATTAATCATACAGCTAAGACATCTCCCCGCTTTATATGGGGTAAAAACATATCTCACTATACAAAAACATTACTCTGAAAAACAGGCTAAATCTTCAGTACATTCATCAACTACTTTTACAGTCAGGAATTCCATGGCCTTAATCGGCTAATAATTAAACTAAAAAAAAAAGTTTAAAAAAAGAAAAAAAAAAAGAAAAAACAGCCACATAAAAAAGCAGTATATTAGCATGAAAAATCTGTTCAGAAGAGTTTGCAATAACTCATGCAAAGTTATACTAACAACTATCTGATTAATTCCGGTGGATCTTTAGGTGCCTGCAAATGTTTCAAGTGATTTTATAAAACAGAACTGTGACAACCCAAATTCACAGGCAAGCTCTAGGCAACCCAAAAGTTGGCTTATATCTTCTCTCAAGGACAAAGCTCTTTAGCTGTTCCTCACCCTCTTTCCTTTCTAGTTCACAGATCTGCCAAACTAAAGGCAGTGACTTTACCAGGAGCAAGTGGCACTGGGCTCAGGGGAGGGAGAGAACTGGAGGCACATTTGCTATTCCTACTTTCAGTAACACACTAAAAAGCACCACAACTGCTATTTATCACCAAAGACACCAAATACTCAGCAAGCAAGTGAACAAGAACAAGCCAGTGGACAAAATCTAAAAGACACCTCAAGGGTACATGCCATGGGTCCAGAACAAGCCAGGAGGAATTTCATACAAATACACAAATCTTACTGAAAAATTCTAAATTATTATTATTATTCAAGTTGGAATTGAGACCTTCAAACACATGGTTAAATTCAGTCCTCAAGACCCTTTCGAACCACTGACATCAATGGAGTATATTAAAGTATAATGCATATATTAGCAATTTCAAAGGCTTTTTGGAAACAGAAGAAAACTCCAGCACAGTTATAATCTCTCTCTCCCTCTCTCTGAAATTAGCAAAGGCAGCTGCCCAAATGACTATCAGCCAATTCAGAAAGTGTTCAGCTGTTCCTCCAAAGTGGAGTCTGTGGCCTGGGGTTGGACAGAAACAAGCTGGGGTCAAGCAGAGGCTGTGCCAAGCATTGCTGTGCGCTGTGGTTAATCAAGTAGCACACAGTACATTTACAGCTTCGTTGGGACCACAGGCTCCGTAGCACGGATGTGGACACTGGGAAGACAGAGCCAGGAGAGAGGCAGCTCCCTGCTGCAGTTGTCTTCATGGAATTTGATATTCAGGTAGAAATCACCTGTGTAGAGAAAGAGAAGTGCTCCAAAGTACACAGAGTCTTTGGTCGGCTTTACCTGGAAATGAGAATGTAAAAATCAGTATAAATAAACCAACAACAAAGCAAATTAATTGAAGTTCAGTAGCTCCTTCAAATGATCTCCAAGTATTCTAGATTAACATCTTGATGTTGCTTTCATACAAAAAGGAGTAAAGATCTTGTCCCTATTCTAGCAAAACTGTTGCACTGAAAATTAAATCCTGTATTTTTCACTCATGCAGTAAAGATGTGGCACAGCTCAAACCACAATACAGGCTTTCAGGAGTCAGTGATTCCAAAACAGAGTTGGTTTAAAGTAGAGATCACACCAAATCTTTCCTTTGACTGCATTTATCAACATGTCTATTAAAGGTCTAAATCATGTCTCTGAATTAATTTTAACTACATGGTTAAACACCACTTAACAACTTACCGATAACTAAGTTCATCCTCACTTATTATTGACATAATCTGACTACAAATTCTAATCTTTAATATTAGGAATTTAGGAATCTTTAATATTCACAATCATTAAAATAATGAAATTTAGCAAGAAAAAAGAAGTAGGTACCCTGATTTAACTTGTCCAAATAAAATACAGAGTACACAATGTTTCTACATTTACATATCTCCCTCCAACGAAAAAAAATTTACAGTCTGTATCTTCACAACGAGTAATATATCTTAGTTCATTTCAGCAAGACACTTCAGTCATTTCTAACTTTAACACTCCCACGACTGTTTAGCATGTGATAATGTTTGAATTAATATCTGCTCCCAAAAGATGTGAAATCCAGTTTCAGGGTGCCTGTAATTGGATTAAAGTTACTGCAGATGCAAAACGCGAAATCAACAACAAAGCCATTCCACTAGATGGATTTTTTCAAAAAATTGTGAAAAGGCAACTTAACCCCAGCAGAAAAGACCCAAAAAAGGACACCTGACCTCCTCAGTACTGGTCTTCCCTCAGCCAAAGCCATCTTTACCAGTTCCTTTCTTCTCTCTGGACTCTGAAACCATCAACCTAAGACACACTCATGGAGTCATCCCTACTTTCACTGGTAGAGCTGTGCCCATGTATTTTCTTTTCACTTGAACACCCAGTGGCAATGGACCTTTCTTTGGTCATCCCCAAACACCTCAGCATCCATCACATTACAGAGTCCAGCGTTGATTCTAAATTGACAGCAGGACATACCACTGGTCAGACAAGCAGACACCCAAGCCCAACCACAACAGAAACTCTGGTGTTGGATCCAGAAGCACTGAGCTGTGTAAATATGCTGGACTTGGTTGGGTTCAGGAGGGAATAATGTCCCCTTTGCCAGAGGCATCCCTAGGAACTGATGGGACATCACCACCTGCGATAGTGAAGGGATGAGACCAAGGCTACAAGGTTATCAGGACTGTTGCCCACTTATAAAAAATTTGGTCATCTGGTAAACTGGGACACCAGCCATGGGGTATTAACTGGGAAAGTGTCTGTGGACTCACTTTGCTGAAGGGTAACTTGCCATTGCATAGGAGGACCAGAACAAGGATGATGAGTAGGCTGAGAAAGTTGGGGCTGTTCAGCCTGGAGAAGAGAAGGCTGAGTGGAGACCTCATAGTAGCATTCCAGTATCTGAACAGGGCCTACAAGGAAGCTGGAGACTCTTCATCAGGAACTGTAGTGATAGGACAAGGAGTATGGGGATCAAACTGAAAGAGGGGAAGTTTAGGTTAGATATGCAGGAAAAAAGTCTTTACTGTGAGGGTGATGAAGCATGGCACAGGTTGCCCAGAGAAGTTGTGCATGCCCCACCCCTGGAAGTGTTCAATGCCAGGCTGGATGGGGCTTTGAGCAGCCTGGTCTAGTGGAAGGTGTCCCTGCCCATGGCAGGGGATTGGAACCGGATGATCTTTAAGGTCCCATCCATCCCAAGCCTTTCTATGATTCTAAATTGCTGCTCCTGAAAAGGGCCTGGCTGCTCACAATCATCCACATCCTCAGAGCTGGAGAGTCCAGGCTCCCTTTGGTTTTGGTGCTGAGCACTTTTGCTGACCTAAGGCAAACTTGTATCAGCATCGTATCATCCACGTGAATGATCAGAGCAGCCACAGCTGTTCTCCTGCCCCATGTCCTTGGCATTTCCCCTCCTCGATGGGTACAAGATTTGCCCTCTGGCACTGTGTTTGGACATGCAGAACAACATCAAGCCGTCTCCCCTCTTGCTTCCTTCCCCTTCTCCCGGGGCTGCCAGCCTGTTTTCTGCCTGACTGGGACTGATGTGAACTTGCATCCAGAGCAGGACAGAGGTAGGCACTAAAGCCAGCAAAGGGTGGAGGCAAATAGCAAATAAGGCCTCCCCAGGACCCACATCTCTTTCAAGCTCCCAGCCCATTTTTCCTAATCCACCTGCACTGTGAAGGAATATCCACAACAGCAGTGATCACAGCCCTTGACAAGCAGGAATATGGCTTCAGGCATATCAGCACCAACATCTAACATCAATGTTCATGGTTTGGGGTCTATCTGTTTGGCCACTTGTACCACCATTAGTGTAACCAACACTTGTGGTTTGGAGAAACAGGGAAGCAAAAGCTGCTTGAAACCTTCACACTGTTGAGATGCAGACAAGATGTTTCTTCCAAAATAGGAACCAACTTTGGAAAGTAAGGCTGCATCTCCAGTGGGGCTGCCTACAAACATTCCCAAAAGAGAAGAAGTAAATCAGCAGCAGTCAGGTCAGCAGTGGGTCACATTCAGCCCAAGTGGTACACCAGGCACAGGACTAATTTTGAGGTTAAACCACCTACATTTAGGTGTGTCCCTGCACACCAGGTATCCAAGTTTCTACTACAGAAAGAAGATACATAATCAATGCAGACAGTGGAGCAAACACAGAATAGGTTGCCTAGGCAGCCTATATAGTCAGGATACAGCTCCCTAAACACAGGTACCTCGTGACATTTGGGATGGCCTAAGGGACTGAAACTTCTGGGAAGATTTACAGGATGTCTTACAGGATTCCTGGCAGCATGTGGAGGCCAGTAGGATAGCCACCTTAGATGAACCTAGATGATAGTAGACATCTACTTTTAGGCAACAGAATCTCACCCCTGGTGTTTATAAGCCAGGTTCTACCTGCTGCAGATCACATCTCCATTGACTAATGGGAGCTTAGCAGGCCAGCCTCCATGGCAACACCTACTCATTCAGGTGTCCCTGTCTGGAACTGAATCCACCCAAATGTCTATAAAGTGGGTGTCCACATCTGAGCCAGCTGTTCAACACAAGGATTCACCTCACCAAATGCAGAATGAGGTAAAATATCCCCTAAACTGCATCAGCCCTGATGACTTGCTCCCCACTACCTGTGAAGGGAGCTCAGGGTGCCTTGTTCAGATGTGTTCACAAGTTCACTGCCATAGCTGACAGGACACACCATCCCACTGATTGCAAGTGCAAGATCCAGCTAACCTATGAGAAACATGAAGATCACATATTTGTGCCTGACCCAGCCCAAATTTGTATTGTCATTCAATCTAGCAGCACACAGCTGTCTCAGTGTCACCAACTAGATTTGTCATTACTTGTTGTGCCAACTTGTGATGATGTTGACTACATGCTCCCTGAGCTGAGTCAGAGCCGAAACAGACTTCACTAAAATTCCACCAAATTGTGGAAACCAAAGATGGGAAGCTTCTACCCCAGAAAAAAAATGACCACAGAATCAAGAAAAAAAAAGTCCATGTTACTCCTTTGTTCCACCAAGATAGAAGAAAAATTAAGTTTCTAGATCCATCCTAATCCTTCCCTGATTTAGGCTACCATGTGGGACTGAGATTGCTTAGAACTAATTACTACTTATTTATACTGCTGTAGTACTTAGGGAGCTCAGTTGGAGATTAGGACTAGTGCCAGCTCCTGTTCGCTGCCCCAAAGAGTTTACAGTGCGAGTAAAACAGTGCCAAGAAAACTAATTTGTTCCAGATGGGCCACAGAGGACCTGCCAGAAGTGAGCAAATGTTCATCGTGGCTTCTGAGCTGATTTAAAATGACCATCTACTAATGAATTTCTCCTCATCTCCCACTACCAACCACTTGATCTCGTGCATGATAACAAGCGCAGGAAAAAAAACCTGCTTGAGAATAGTGATGGCACCAGCAGGAACAACAAGAGAGGATGAACTGCTGGGAGCTAAAGGAATCTCCATAGAAGATAATATTTTTGGTTTTAATTTAGCAAGAAGCAACTCTGTCTGATTACTAATTAGTCAAAAAAAAAACTGGTAAGAACTAAAAATTTTAATAATATGGCTTAAGGAAAACTTCATGTTGTGAAGAGAGATAAAAAATTAAATCAATGCACCTTATTTTAATGGGTGGATTCCACCATGTCATCTTGTGATTCAAAACTCCCCACTGAACAAAAATGTCAACTAGCTAAATAATAACTGAGAAAGTCACTTTTTCTGTTAAATACAGACATAGAAAAGTAAGGTGAACCAAATTAGAAGCTGTGCTTAAAAATAAAGATTCTACTTAATTTGAAATGCATGGAAATAGTTCAATATCCTTTAAAATTTTCAATAAAAGACTTTGCTTTTTGAAGTAGCATGTCCCAGCAGAGACTTTGTGACACAAACCCAGGCTGCTGCATTGAACTGAAGTAAAAGCACAAAAAGGTGAATAAGTGTCATTACATTACTTCCAAGATAAATCATCTCACCTGGACTTCAAGCCACAAGAAAGAGAAATATAAAATCGTGTGATTTTTGCCCTTTTAGCAATTTATATTCATACTGCAAAGCAGCATGTGCATTCTGAAAATTCCTGTATATATCCCCGGTCTTCCAGATAGTAGCAGAAACTGCTTTGAAACTTTTTAGTCTGGAATCAAAAATAACTGTGAATTTTTGAGCATGAGGCTCAATATGAAACTAACATTTAGGAAAGCAGGGCAGTTTGGGGTTTTCTTTCCTTTTCCCCCAGAGAAATCATATTCAATTGAATACCAATAATGCAGTTTCTGCATCAGCATGACAACAGTACAAATTTTTCAGGGTGTGGGAAGTATCTTTTCTTGCTGTAATACTTGATGCTCCCACTCATTCTTGACCATACACCAGTGACACACCAAACCATACTCTAGTTCTCCATCCTTCCTCCCACCCAGCTCAGCCCTGCAATAAATCATGTCAGCACCTCTGCGCCAGTGTCAGAGTGAAGTCAGCCCAATTAGCTTAAACTGCTGACGAACGTCGGTTTTGCTAAACTGGACAACTTCGCACAAAAACAAGTGCTCACAGCATCTCTCCCGGTGTGTCTGCTGGGGAAGAGGGCAGCATCTTTCACAAGCAGCTGGGAAAGGGCAGCATCTCAAGACACCTCCATTAAACAAGAAAAATAATCAAGTGCCAATGACCTGAGGTTAAAGAAATAATGCGGCCATTTTTAATGGCTTCAATAGAGCAGCGCAGAGTTGAAGACCTGCAGGGAATCTGGTCCGGTATCTCAAATTTCATTTATAAAAAAGATAAACTCTGAATCTCTTTCATCTCACCCAACCGAGAGCTTCTTTAGTTTTTTGACCAGTGTCTGTCTGACTTTTGACCAAATTCAGAGCATGAACTCAATTCTGTGTGTGATTGTTCTTCCCTGAAACATCAAATGCACAAATCAGGACTTTCTTCTTGTCCCCAAAACAGATGGACCTTTCTGAAATCTATTTTCCATTACTAAATTAGTTATCACGAGGGAAGAAAGGGTCTCTGACAGCACTAGATATACTGAAGAGTTTTCTTCCATGATGAGGGCTCTATGCCTCGATGAAACGTGACCAAGCATTTTCTCTGGGAGTCTCTGTAGTATCAACACTACACACTGTGAAATATAACACTTCTTGTCTAAGAGTCAACATTTTCTTCATTTCACCTTTTTAGATGGAAAGGAGGACAAACAGCAGAAGACAATTCTATTCTTAACTTCTTGAGGACTGTGTTTACAGGAGAAATGTCACAATCCTGAACAATGGGGCAAAAGCGGAGACCGTAACGTATGAGAAGGCTGCCTGGGCAGGCACAAGAGATGTAACCTCCTGACTTTTTGCCTCATAGGAGACTCAATCAGAAGGTAAGAATACATCACACTGACATCTCCCTATTCCCTCATTAGCCTGGAGGGTCAGGCCCTTCGGCAGCCGGGCATCCAAACACTACCAGTCTGATTAAAAACTCCACATTGTCAGGAAGTGAGTCAAAGTGAGTCAAATCATCTCTGGATGATTTCTGTTGACATACTTAAATTATGCAGCTATAAGAATAAAGTTAGCCCCCATTAAAATTCAAGCTGATGGTGTATTTCATGCTCATTAGCTTTTAGAAATATTTTCTTCTGCGATGGGTAATTGAAAAATGTGCATGGTGACTATCCCTGTGGTTAACCTTTAATTTCTTTCTTACTAAGGTTCACTTATATATTCAGTTTTGACAGGTACATTTTATTACTGATCCAAAAAGCTGACCTAAGCGAAGGTCCTAAGCACTATCCCAAACACTCACCCCCTTCTTTATGTTTATTTCATAAGTTACCAGAAATGCTGCTTGTTCCACTTGGCAGCACTGTTTTCATTTCTGGTATTTTGTTGTTGTATTTTTTGGGGGGAAAGGATGTGGGAGAGAGTAGTTTTATCTGTATTTTCAGTGTCTTGCCTCAGAAGCAAAAAGTTCTCAGACTTGAACTTTCTAAAGAAATTGAGAGAAAAATCATAATCTAAATTGTTTTAAAAAGGGGCTTTTTTGCCTCATTTTAAGCATTTCTTTATAGTTTTGTAACAATATGCTAAGCACCAAGGAAATGAACCAGCTCATCAGATTGGTCATTAATGTTTAGCATTTTCTTTTTACAGTCTGTTGCGTTTCCTCAGGACCTGACTAAAACTGATTTGCTGAGCTCCCTGGCTCAGCCTGGGGAATATTTCTTATGGACTAAAAAGAAAAAGAAAAGTTATTTAAAATCTATTACTGCAGGCTGCACTGGATGACTCAAGGGACTGGCAATATGGTATTGACCATTCAATCTAGGTTACCCGCTCACATTTAGTCCGACCTGGGGTGACCAAAAGCTACCGTCTCTGATCATTTACTAGTGGTTTACATGGTAGGAAATTACAGTCTTAAACCATTTCAGAGAGATGATTCTGTATCCCCCAACCTAGCAATAGATGCCATAATCATGGTGCTTTCCAAAAATTAATTTACCTTAAAATGCACAACTAAAAAAGGAAGCCCTTTTCTGCAAATGCCAATCATCCAGAATCCTGATATTCCTGATAAAACGACTTACTGAGTCGATGTAGAAGGTGTTAGACCCCACAAAGGTGATGGCATCTTGCAGGTCATAGTTGTGCACCCCGTTCTGGTAATCCTGGTAGGGCATCACAGTGAGGGCGAAGGGCCCCACGCTGTGTTTGCTCCAGTTGGTCAACTTCACCTGCAGCGGGACGGGGTCGCCCACCTGGCAGTTCACCACGACATCACAGTCACAGAGCTGGCCATCAACGAGGATATCTGCAAATCAAGGAGACAATTCCACATCAGGCTGGACATCTGCTTTAGAAACTGTGTTAATCTCGATGGGAAACTTCAAGACAAAAAGTGACCTTGATGAAACCGAGAGTGCAGGACACTTAACTTTGAGAAAGGAAACACACCACCGTTGTCCTGTGTAGGGCAGTGCAACAGGGGACCTACTTGAAAAAAAACATTCATGAAGGCCTGATATCTGTCCACAGCTGTTGAAAGAGCTATGAAAAAACCCCAATTATCATCTACACACAGGCACCAGAAGATATTTTTTTTAACATTCCCCCTTGAAAGCCAAAGCCACAGACAATTTCTCATGTTTCTCCAGAAAATCAACAGCATCAGACGAAGGGAAATACAAACAGTAACCATTAATACAAACAGCAACTAGATAGATCCAGGGCTGGATGCCCATGTTCACATGTTACAGCCAGAATAAATCCTCCTGTATGGAGGTGACCTTTCGGAGCAGGACAGTCACTGCCAGAATTTGCAATGTAATACATATATTAAAGTCCAGATTATAAGAAAAAAAGGGATTTCAAAATTATACAGTAGTACTACGAGCTTGTTCACTCTTTGCACTTTAATTCCTTCTGGGATTTCTATTTTTAACTCTCTACTTTTCTTTCCCTTTCTGGGATAGCAGAACATATAAAGCCTCTAAATTGGTTACTGCTGGGACAATGACAACCAGAGTAATGTGTCCACTAACCTTGCCCATTTGCTTATACAGAACCAAAATGTTTCATTACCAACACACTAGGAAATTCTTAGTCCAATTCCCTGCTCTGAAAGGGTTCCCAGTTGTAAAGTATTACTGTATTTTTCAGATGAGGGTTATCTCTAATGTACTATTAATACAGGAACATTTCTATTTCACTATGGGTTCATGTTCAGAGATAAGAGAAAGCCCTGGGACATGTAAGAAAGCATCCTCTGTGTGAATACCTATCCCCACAATCTCATATGCCCGTGAGGCATTTCCATCACTCCAGCTCCTCCTCAGTTCCTTGCCTTACGACATACATCATATTATTCCTTTGCCAACAGCATCGGATTTACATTAGTAATATCCTCTCTTCAAGGAAAGACACTATTTTTATGCTTCAGGAGCTTTCACAAAAAAAAAAAAAAAACAACAAAATGATTTTTTTAAACTTATTTTTGTTTTGTTGCCTTAGACAAAAAGTACAAAATGATGCATGTTCTTGTGATGCCCTTTAGCCTGGCAAACTGAACAAGCCTCAGCACAGTCACTGGGAGAAAAAAAAAAAAGGGAGAAAAAAAAAAGCTAATGCCAAAGAAGAAATAAGTTCAGAAAAGAACATTTATTCCACAGGTCGGGTCAGCAAAGCTGAGCTACCCAGATGAAAACCCCTCCTTGACCAAAGCTGCCCAAATGCAGCAGCAAGTCCCAGATATAAGAGGCTTGGCAGAGCAAGCCCAAAAAAACCCTGCAGTGCTCAGACTGGAGCTATCCAAAACCCATGCCTGTGTCCCAGCTGGAACAGCCCCCATTCCAAACCTTTCCACGGGAGCTCAGTTTTTGACAATGAGAGCACTGGTGAAGCCACATGTGGAGTGCCTGTGTCCAATTCTGGGCTCCTCAGTACAAGAGAGACATGGACATACTGGAGAGACTTCAGTGTAGGATCATGAAGAGAATTAAGGGACTGAAGCATCTCTCCTATGAGGACAGGTTGGGAATGTTCAATCTGGAGAAGAGAAGACTCCAGGGGATCCCAACAATGTCTGTGAACACCGGGGGGGTGCAGAGAGGACAGAGCCAGGCTCTTTTCAGCGTGCCCTGTGACAGCACCAGAAGCAATGGCGCAAACTGAAACACAGGAGCTTCACTGTGAACATCAGGAAACGCTTTTTTTACATTGAAGGTGACCAAGTGCTGGCACAGGTTGCCCAGGGAGGTTGTGGAGTCTCCATCCTTGGAGATACTCAAAAACCATCTGGACATGGTCCATGGCAAGAGGCTTTAGGAGGCCCCGCCTGAACAGCGGACAGGACCAGACGATCTCCAGAGGTCCCTGCCAATCTGAACCATTCTCTGATTCTCTGAAAGGAAGTTATAATCACCACTGCATTTTAGGAAAGGGCTAGAAAACTGTTTTGGAGTTGGATTTCTTTTGCAACAGCACACTCCAATCTATGGGCTCTCTTACCCAATATGATCAAATTGCTCCTTGCCTTAAGATCGTGGAGATGAGGTAGTGGTTATAATGGTATCCCCATTATCTGAGATTAACTGACTTGAATTTTTCAAAACACGGAAATGTGTGTCTGTGGATAACCTTAAAGCTTCCCAGTCTTCTGACAGAGAACTGAACTCCAGTTGCTTCCTTCATAAGAAATGTGTTTATATCAATTCATTACTTTATATCAGTTCATGTTTTCAAGCTTCTCCCTGCAAGATGAGTCCTTTCATTAAATAAAAAAGAAAAAACAAAACCACTTTTTTTTTCTGGTTCCTCTAGCCAGTGGGTAGCTTCACAAAGGGTTAGCTCCCCAGACCAGCCTGAACCTTCAGAAATACTCCATGGAGTATACTCCACTCATACTTAGTGGATGGATCCTTATTTTCAAGATGCTCATCAACTTGCCTTTTAGCTTTAAAATTCAATGCACTGCTGTAGGAATTGTAAATGAACCCTTTGCCCTCTGTCTCTACTGTTGTATCTAATAATAGCTCAGAGCACTGCTTCCTAATATCTTCATGAGAAAACAGAAAATCCAAACAAAAGGGAAGCAATTAAGTTTGGCTCAACCAGATTAATTTTCTTTCGTATTCCTAAAAAAAAAAAATTCAATTCATTTAAGATTGATTCAAGAGCGTGTGTGCACACGTGCTTGTGTATATATTGAGAGATAATTTCCTTCCCTTCCAGAACACACTTCCCCTCCTGCAGAACTGAAGCCAAGGATCTCAATGAGATGTCAGATGAGAAAGCACACATGGCTGGCGTGCAAAATACTATGGAAAGGAGTGTTTAAAAACAGTCCCCTTTCATCAGGGAGAACAGCTTGGTTTGACAGGCAGTTTTACTCCCTTCCTGACACAGAAAACATCTCATGGACCATACGGATTTGCTTTAATATTTTCATCCATGAACAGAGGAAAAGCCATGTGTACAGGGTCCCATTTCTGCAGATTCAGCTCACTCACACAGATGGCATATAAAAGCTGAGACTGCTCACACCACTGCTGTGAGAGTGAATCATTATTGGCTTTGGAATACAGGAGCTCTGAATCAGACGATACAGTCACTAGCACAGAAGACAGTCGTGGCTGTATCTCCATCCTCCAAAGATTCAGATATGAGAAAAACAGTACTTCAGAGAATTAGAAGGACCAAATTTAATTCAAACAGAATATATCAATTACATTTTAAAAGCGGGAGCACAAAATCTGGTTGCCAGAGGGGGAAAACGCCCCACAAAGACCTAGAAATCTCTCCATCTCCTTCTAATTAAAAGTTAAATAATTTTAAAAGTAATTTAATAAGCCAATAGAATGCTGCCCCTCCCTTTCCTGTTCATTTACCTACAATGTCCAATATGTTGGCATCCTTGGGTGCCAAACTTACCCTGCAATGCTTGATAGCCATTGGACAGACACAGTCTCTGCCTTGCACCTATGAACAGGCACAGGACCACTCTATTTTATCTCTAGGATATTCTCTAAGTGATTATTGTATGAAGGGAGAAAATGTTGTCCCACACATTTTGGAAGGCAGAGGATAAGCTGATACAAACCACTGAGAATGGTGATTGGAAAGCCTTGCTTTTTCTTTGAAAGCATTAGCCAAGCCTTTTATGATCTCCATGAATTAATTTTTAAGATGGAAAAACTAATTCCTGGCCCAGGTGATGGGTGATGCTTATTGACACCACAGGAAGTCTGGGAGACCATTCTATGAAAATAATACATTAGAGTTCTTATAATGTCTTTCTTTCAGGATCTCAGAACTCTCAAGAAAAGAGAATGAATGTTACTAACAGAAAGACAACGACTATTCCACAAGAAAAACATCACTTGCCGTCACCTGCCAGGTGCACTTCTGTCTACATCACCCAAAGGAGCCACTTGGAAATGAATGCCAAACACTAATAACATTTTGTGTTATTTACTCTGCTCATATTAACACATCGTAAGTTGTTCTTGCTACTTTGTCAAGTTTCCATGACAGAACTCACAACTCATTGCCCACCTGTACATCCAGAGTCCTGAGTCACAGCTAATTGCATTTCTGCACCCAAATCCCCATTTGCCACTGTCAAAGTTTAATTTTGGAAAGCTGCACACAAATACATTTAACCTTAGTGGAAATACGTATTCCAGCAATGTTTACTCTCCTCACTCATCCTTGGGCTGATTTTAAAAAACAGGTTGCAGAGGAAGGCAGGGTGGTTTTGCTCATCATTACAGTGGGGGATGGAGACATTTCCATTTGGTATTTCCTTTTAACTGGATGTTGAATCCCCAGCTAATGTAGTTGCACTGGCCTCTGCCATTCACTGCAGCTGGCCCAAGACTTCCAGCAAACACCTCACAGAGCAATGGCTTTGTCCAAACAAGTAGGCCAACAAAGCTCAAGGCATGAAATGCCCAACTGAGTAAATACTTAGCACATACAAGATAAAGGAGACCTTTAAGCCCAGAAAAGCAAGCCTTGCCTACAGTTACTGTTAGGGTACTTTATCAATTAATGATTGTTATGTTGTTAGAATTGTTCCAAAATACTAGTTTTACTCATCTCTGCCTGTGAACCGGGAGAGACGTGGTCTGTGGAGGAGAAAGGAGCAGCAAAAGTCAGTGACATCTCTTGATAATGTCCATCAGGTACTTTAAGAGAGGAAAGCCAAAGATCCAGAGCCCAAGCTAGAGTTGCTGAAATGGTCTCACAGAATGATTCAGTTATTTCTGTGTTCAAAAAACCTAAAGTGCTGATTAAAATTTTTGCCCAGGC